CTTTGTCAGGAAAGGCATGGCAGCTTTTGAAACAGCAGCAGCAACTGCTGTTGTAGACTGTCCCCTGCAAACCAGGCAGAGTGACTGCAGCTGCAGTGGGTGTGCTCAGACGCAAACAGCATTTGGGCTGCACTACTATCCTTTTCAGCTGAGACCTAAAAGAAATTAGTCTCTCTTTATTTCTTTGCTGTTTGTTTCAAATCCTGCCACCAGCATCTTTGCTTTAGCGGTAAGGAATGCAGTGCAGACAGGCAAAAGTTTAGATAGGCAGGGTGGAGAACAGCAAATCCAAACAGAAGCAACAGAGCTAGAATACAACAGCAGGAGATAAGAGTACAAGGAGTGAGTAGAGTGAGTACAGGGACACTGGCAGGAAGTTCACTTGAAAGTCTCTTGCTTGCTCATAGCATACCAGCAACACAGAAACCAAGCTTGGCCCATGAAATCACTCCCATTCTGAGCCCCAGTTTCCCAGACAATCTTGCTCAAGCCCTTGGAAGCACAGGTGGGATCCTTGACCTCACGACTGACAGCTGCAATCTCTCCTTCAGACATGTAAGTCTTGCTGACGACATCAGTCAGAGTGCCTCCGTCCATGTACTCCATCACCAGCCAGAGTTCCTCATGCACAAGGTAGCTGAAAGAAGGAGGAAACAAGGCCATGCAGATGAACATGCATGGCTACTTGTTTTTTTGCTCAATTCTTGTTTCTGGGTCCCTTTGAGACAAGGACAGAATAAAAGGAAAATTGCCTCTGGACTGTGCAGTGTTTGCAGTCTGTGCTGTCTCAAGGAGAAAGGCATGTATGTAACAGCCCAGATAAAAAAGCTGCCACGCATGGTATTTCTGGAAATAAACACCTAGTCTTCATGGCATGCACAGCAATGGGAAAGAGGGGTAACAATCCAAGGGAAATCCTCTCTAGGACGGATCATCAGCATTTAAGAAACTTGAAAAACTCAATCCCGAGAAAATGCAGATGCAATGAACATACAGGGTATTGAATTATTAAGATAGGGCTGATGCAGGTTTTTGAACAATTTTCAAACTGCCTTTACCAAGGTAGATGAATGCAGACAAACTACAGTCTCTTCCCACCCACTGGAGATAAGTAGAGAAATAATAATTAACCAATAATTAAGAGCTCTATTTTCTGCCAGTGGCCAAAGCAGGTTCTTAACCTCTCATGCTTATAGTACGGAAACAAACATTGATGGGATAAGACCATGATCACTCACCTGTCTAAATAATTCACAACACTGGGACTCCTATAACTCTTCATGATCATGATTTCATTAACAGTTAATTGCTTCCTCCTCAGTCCTTGAAGATTGATTTTCTTTATGGCCACCTAAAATGATATTGAAAATGAGTAACTTTGGAAGTTGGCATGGAGCTTCTCACATGGAGTGAGTGATTCTGGAATGGCACAGCCAAGCTGTGCCAAAGCACCTTGTGATTAGACATTGGAGTAATTAGGAAGTGACAATCCAACAGCCCATTGCTCTGCTCCCTTGGGGACAGTTACATGACACCTGACCACTGACACTTTGCCTTGTCCACTTGGTAACAAAGGTGTATCAACACCTTTGTTGGGTGTATCAACACCCACAAAGCTCTGACCACACCCTCTGCTGCTCTGCCTGCACTTCCAGAGAAGTAATCTGTGCCTTGGTACTCTGTGGATACAGGCAGGCCTTTGGGCTTTTAGGGACACCTTGCAGATCTCTCCCTATGTACAGCTCCCAAGTGGCTAATGAGCTACCAGTAACATTCAGATGTATTTGCTGGTAGCCAGAAATGAGGATTCAGGACTCTGAAGCTGTAGCCCCAAAGAGCAGTGAGATGCTCTAAGTGAGATGCTAAACCTTGGTTTTAGCAATTGAGAGCAAGTGGGCACGTCCTTCTCTGCAAGGAACCACTGCCCTCCTTGCCTTCCTACTGGCAGCTGAGAAGGACAAAGACTGTCCCAAGTGCAATTTGCAGGCTGGCACCAGTCTGTGTTTCTTGTGCCTTTCCTGCACAGCTCTACCCAAAGCTCCAGGCACAGATGTCACCCGTAGGGAAAGGCCTTGAGAGCAGCAGAGTCTGCAGGGGCTGTTGACATTTACCTCTCCTCCTGTGGCAATGTCAAGTGCTCTAGAAACCTCTCCAAAAGCCCTAGAAACAAAACAGCAGCAAAGAAAGGAGAAGCCATTTAGATCTTGCAGTGAAAGCCACTCCAGACAGGAGATCTCTGCTGTAAATACCTAAAAGTGCAGGTTGCAGGAGGGGTCTGCCAGAAGGCAGATGATACATTTTCCCCTCCAGTGCATGGGCACTGGGCCTGTTTCTGAAGTGCTGGGCTTTCCTGCCTCAGCTCAAAAAGACAGCTTATTCCTTCATCTCGGCTATCAGTTTCCAAACTGGGCAGGTCTAACCTTGAGCACGGAGAATTTCCTTTAGCAAACTCTTGGACAGAAATGTCCCTGAGGATTGTTATCTGACAGCTATCATAAAGGGGCAGGTTGCTCTTTCAGGTAAGCAGGGTTCTTCTCCTGTCATTTGTGTGGCAAAATTCTATGATCTTGAGACATACACAAATGCTAAGGAAATTACCACAGAGCTGTCCCACACTTGAGAGACAAGGAGATCTACCAGGTTATGCTCCTTGCTGCAGGCAAGACCTTGGTTGGCAGCATGGGGAGGTCTTTGGCAATGCCTTCTGAGCACACTTACAAATTCTGGCCAGTACTGAGAGATGGGGCAGACTAACCCTGGTGTCTAAACATGTTTGCAGCTTGTCTGACTTCCCACTTGATGGATATTCCACCAGCGAAACACCTGGCCCAAGGCTGTGTAGAAGTATCTGTGGACTCACCCGCTGCCGAGATTTTCCAGTTCAATGTATTTTCGTATGGGATTTTCCACATTCACCATTCTCCCTGAGGGAAACAAAATGTAGGATTCTCACTTTCAAGCAGAAATTCCAATTTCCAGGAGATATGAAAGCCCCACTGTCTGGGGCTCTGAACCCTTTGTGGTCAGCTGGGCAGCAACCACAACAACAACAACAAGAGCAACAAGCCAGGCAGTTCTGCAGTCCAAAAGGCCAGCAGAGAGACTGGTTTTGTCCAGTACTTTGAAGACTTCTCTTGTCAGGAAATAAAGCCCAGGGAGATGCATTCCCAGGAGAGGAGGGCATCTTCTCTAGCTTGCAGCTGTTTGCCAAAAGAATGAACGCCTTTCCATCTGTAAAGCAGAGCAGCTGATGCTGTAACCCATTCCAAAGGGGCTTTCAGCATCAGGACCCTCACCCTGTATGAGCAGGCTGAGCTCCAAGATGCCCTTGCCCGTGGCCCATAGGAAGAACCCCAGTGCTTCCCTTCACCCTGACAGTGCGGATCAGTGGCTGCCATTGGACTCGGCCTCTCAGCACCGCACATGTCCCCCCCACCTTCCCAAGTGGGCACAGCGGGCAAGGGCAGCGAGGAGAGCAGTGCTGCTCAGGCGCCGCTGTGACACGCACAGCTGCCCAGAGGAGATGCTGTCCCTCTCGGGAGTCCAGGCCATGCCATGCAGAAGCCGGCCCAGACGAGGGGCTGCTGCCTCGGGCCAGCTCGGCTCTGCAGCGGCCGGCCGGGCGGCAGCGCCACTCTCCCAGCTAAGGAAGGCTCCAGCCCCTGCAGTCAGAGCAGCCCTCAGGGCCAGGGCACACAGCAAGGCTGCCAAAGGCCAAGCATGAGAACAAGCCATGGCCACAAGCCACAGCCAGCCTGAGCCCCTGACAAGCTGCTGCCCCCATTCAGGACACAACGGGATTGGCTTTGGCATCAGACACACCGAGGTGTGGATCAATGCCCTTTTTTGTCTCAACAGGTGAAGGTACACACAGAATGAAATGGGATCTTTTCTCAGCCCCACCAGGTCTTTATGGGAGGGCACAACACTGGCAGCTCTTATGGGCAAGAAGCAGATTAAATGGGTTGTGCTGCAGAATCACAGAGGGCTTGATGTGTTTTCCTAGAGGCTGATCTGAGCAGGGGTTGGGCCAATGGGTAGAACCCAAGCAACTGCTCCAGCAACAATTCCTGCTTCTTTCTTCAGTAGAAAGGGAAGCCAGGTAAACTTTAACCAGTCCAGGCTGCCCTCAGGGACAGCAGGAACATGCAGAGTGCTCTCTCCCTGCCTCGAAGCAGAGCACTTCCTGTGGAGAGACCTAAATGTCCCTGTGACACCAAACTGAGGAGGAACATTTGGTACAGCTATGCTGGCACGTGCACACAATTCACTGTCCCTCAGACAAGAAATAAACTAGATGTTCTCAGTAGCTCTGGGAAATCCTCCTGTGGCTGAGCAGCATCTGTGTCAGTGCTGGAGATGAATAAGTTGCACAGGCTCCACTTCTCAGGGAGGGGAACCAAGGCTTCTTGGTAGCTCTGAGAGTAGAAATGAGTTGGTGTCAGAAAAGTGAATGGCAGAGATTACCCCGAGTACCCTTTTCAAATTCAAGCCCGTAAGAAGTTGCTCTTAGCCACATGCCAAGCTCATAAACTGGATTTTTTTGGACACCTGCTTCTGAAACCAAATGGTCAAAACCAGAGGTTGTTTTAATTGAGTTCATAGACACCTTCATATTCCATTTTCATGGATTTTCTGAAGGATGACTGCAACAATGACCATTCCATTTCCTCCCAAGGATCCCTTTCCCCCTCCAAAGACTGCAGACACATTTGCAGATCCTTGTCCAAATGTTGTACCTCCTCCCAATGAGTCCACTTTTCCTCCACCATCTTTGAGACATGCTCAACCTTCAGCATCTCTGCTTGGGACAGTTGCTGTGCCTCACGCCAACCTTGGGGCTCTTCATCACCAGTCATTTGCTGGAAGCCTTTCCGAGGCTGCCAGGTGAGATGTCAACATTTCCACCTCAAGTCAAACAGAACAAAGCAGTCAGAGACTACAGCTTGTCCCTTTCTGCCAAGGCTCATTGACTGTGAGGAAAGGGAACGAGCAGGAGAGGAGCAGATTCCCCAAGGGATACAGACAGCTTGTGGCTTGTGTTCAACATCTATCTGGGTGACTGTGTTCACTTGCAAAAACACCTGAAGAAACAAGGAGAGCAGGAAGAGGCCAGCAGGAATGCACTCAGATGAGTGCTGGCAAAAGGGGAAAGCGACATGTGCCACTGTCCAGAGCAGTAGCTGGGATTCAGCACACCAGCAAGTTTCCTTCAAAGCAGCTGGGATAGACACTACAGCAGGATGGCACTGAGAGGCATCACCCCAGCTCCCTGCTGCTCTGCAGAGGAAAGGCAAGAGGGGCTGACACCACCACACTGCAGTGACTGCAGTGGCTATCACTGTTTCACTCACTTGTTTTAGTAGAGAATCCTTCTTCTGAATCAGGTGATTAATTTTCTCTATGACAATTTTCAGTTCTTCCTCCAGCCTCTTTTCCTTTGCATTGATCCTAGCCTCTGTTTCCTGCAGCTCTGCCTGGAGATTTTCCTTGATGTCCTCTAAAAAACACGAGAGAGACAGCTTGATGAGTGGAGTGACTTCTACTCTTTCACTCACCTGATTCTGCTGATCTCTCTCTGCTCATGGAGCCTCATCTCCTCTTCGGTGCTCCTCATGTCTTCCTGGTGCCTCCTCTTCACTGCCACAATGGCACTCTGAGCTTCAGGCAACTCTGCCTGTGGCTCTGCCTTGATATTCTGTACACACAAATGGAGAACAAGTGACTGGGAGCTGCCATCAGGCTCAGCTTTTCCCTCTTTCAGCCTCAAAATCACACTCATTCAGTCACTTCTTTCTGCCTACTTAACCACCTCTGCTTCCACTGTAACCCTCCTGTCCCAGTGCTGATCTCTGCAGATTACAAGGCTCTGTGCTTTCAGTGCCTCTGGGACTCCTGGCCTCCTCAGTCCCAAGAGCTGTGTTTTATGCCCCTCTTCCTGCCCTGCACTCTGTCACCTGCTGAGTCAGGCTTACCTGGCCATTCTCCAGTGGCTCTTCCACCTGCTGCCCAAGCTGCTCTTCCTGCTCTCGGGCTGGCAACAGCTCTCCCTCAGTCTGGCATGGCATCTCTGACAAATCAATCTGCTCCTGCTCTTTCTCCAGAACAACCTGCACAGAAAGCAAGAGAACATGGCCTTCAACTCCCCACACAACATTTGTGGGCCAAGACTCAAACACTGATGGGCTCACACGTTCCCAAAGCACTGTGCTGCTGCTCTCCTGGCTTGTTCTCTGCCCATGGGGAGACACAGATTCCAAAGTGACACTGGCAGTACAATCAGGGTCCAGCTGGGTCTGAATCCCCAACAGACTCTTGGGCAGCTGACAGGAAATGTGTGCCATTTCTCAAGGGTCTGCTGAGGGCCTCCCTCCCCTTCTGCTCTGTCCTCTTTGTCTTTCCATAGTCACTCACACTCAGCCCTGTCCCACAGCTCCATCCTGGCTCTGCAGGTGGCTTCCTGTGTGATTTCATCCCTTGTGAGAGACACTTGTGGAGTTCATGTTCTCTTCAGGCCTGCACCACCATTCCTGCCTTTCTGACATCTACACTCTTGTTAGAAATCCTGCTCTGTCAGGAGATAAGGATGTGTGCAATTTGATCCTCTGATGGAGGTCAGGGAGCCCCTATGGCCACCTGAGTATATGGAAGAGGACCAAGGTGTTTATCCTCCCTCTTTTGTCAGCTGAGAATTCTGAGCAGCACTAACAGAGATCCTCCAAAGGCCCCATCAACAAATGAATTGACACACCCCGAGGGATGCCAATGAAGGAAACCATGTGTCATGTAATCCATGTATGACCAAAGTCTCCAAACTCCACCTAGAGCTTGAGATTGTTCCACTCCCTTAGGACATGCAGCAATTTGTTGCATAAAAAGAAGGTTTCACAGCAGAAGAGAGTGGAGGAGGAAAAGAGCTGTGAGGGAAAAAAACAACCCTCTCTGCAGGGGGAATCATCTCTGCCTGCTCTGGATCAGTCAATGGAACCTGTCTCTCCTCCTCTCCTCAAAGGGATGCCTTTAGGTGACCTTTATACCACCAACTGCTTTGGAGCAGAGATGGGAAAATTCAAATGGAATATTTGATATCTATCAAATAGATGATAGATAGATGGATAGATAGATAGATAGATAGATAGATAGATAGATAGACAGCTAGATCTCACTATTATAAACTCTCTTACTATATTTTCTATCCCTACACACATCAACACTTGGTAGCCAGTGCCCCCATCAGCAGCAGTGCTGAACTTGCTCTCCTGTTGCTTCAATAAATCACACTCTTGGGGAATCTGGATTGTGTCGGTGCTTTGCTGTCAGACGCAGAGCACTGCTCTGGGAACTGCAGTCTTTGTGCATCTGTGCTCAGACAAGTTCTTCTCTTGGACTCAAGCACACTGATGGTGCTGAAGTGGCTGCAATCAGAAATGAAGCCCAGCCCCTCCCAGCATCTCTGATCTCTCAGCACCAGCTGGAATGCAAGGCCATTGATTTCCTGCCCAATTCCCAAACACAACACCTATTGATCAACCATGGGCTGCCAAAAGGCATGGGCACTGCTCACCTGAAAGTGATGTGCAAGCCCTGCTGTCTGGCCTGACACCAGAACAGCTCCTTCTGCCCCAACATCCCCACCCCAAACAATGTGTTCTCCTGCAAAAATACTGCATTTTCCAGAACTGCCATCTTCCAAATTCAAATTCTAACAGAGTCTCTTCCAGTGCTGCAAGTGGGCAGGAAGGGTTGAGCCAAAGCACCTTTAATGGCTGCAGAATGAGAAACTACACAGAGTCCTTTTTACAATCAAACCAATAGACAAATAAACAAAGCAAAGAATGAAATTGTCACCCACTCCAGGGTCTAATCTTCTTGGCTGCAGGGAGGGGATGTTTGGCAGGAAAGTGGCCCAAGTGGTGAGCACTGTCATGTAGGGATTGATGGAAGTCTGCTTGAAGCAGACTTGAAGCACCACAGTGCTGCCCAGCACAGGGGGACGCTCAGTGCCCTGCTCCTGCTGCCCCACTCTTGCTGACACATGGCCAGCATGCCCCAGGTCTTCTTGGCCACCTGGGCCCAAGCTGGCTCACGTTCAGCTGCTGTTGAGCGACACCCCTGGGTGCTTTGTCCCAGGCAGCTGCTCAGGCACCAAGTTGCACATTTGACTTCAAAGACACCATCCAGAATTTGGAGATGCCTTTCTTGTTCTTAGCAACACAAGACAGCACTCAAGGACTTGCGGCTTTATCCCAGCCTCCAGGCTCCAGGGGAGTTTTCAAAGCTGCAGACTTCAGAAAGAAAAGTCTCAACAGATATACAGAGTCTCTGGTTTTTGCCTCAGAAGAAGGATTCAGGACAGTGCAATTTGTGTCTTCTGCCACAAGAGAAGAGTGGCCCCACATGGATTCATGGACCACAAAATCATCTCTTTGCAGCTTATCAAAAGCCAGAAGAGATGTGGGCTCAGAGCACCTGTCAGCTCTGCTACTGACTGCTCTGCCTGAAGAGGCAAAACAGAAACCCAGCAACAAAGGCACCAAAATCCCTGATTTCAGTCAGAAATTTCACATCCCCAACGTGTCTCTGAAATACTCCCAGGTAAGCACACTCAATAAGCTCATGGGGACAAACCACCCCAAAGCGCCTGTGTGGTCAGATCCACATCTTTTGTGCCTGCAGCTACTTGGCCAGTCTGTAGGGCACAGGACTCTCCAGACCACAGTGTCCTCTCCAGAATGTGACATGGCTGAGCAGAGTGTCTTTGAAATGCTCCCTCCTCTGGGCACAGGGAGCCTTCATGCTTCAGGCTGGCCCCTCTCAGAATCCCAGCAATTGGGGGCCTAAACATGACAGATCAAAAGTCATTTTTCAGCTGCCATTGCCTGGGGTGACTTGCTAGGTGCTGGCACAACTCCAGCACTCGGCAGCCTCAGCTACCAACAGCAAGTGCTGGCTGCTCAGGAACTTGCAGCTCTGCCTTGCACTAAAGACAACACCAGCCAGAAGTGGCACTTACAGTCTCTGAATGTTCAGGCTGGGCTGTGACCAGTGCTGGAGGCTCGTGGTCATTTTGCTCCTCTTTGGCCTCTTCTCCAGGAGCAGAGGGAGCCAGAGAAGAGTCTGCTGTTGGTTCTGGGCTCTGTGCACAGACAGTAGTGTTAGGGACAGGCAGCTACCTATCATTTATAACCTTACTTCTATTCTGCTCTATTTCTACAACCAGCTCGACTAAGGACAAATCATTCACTTTGATAGCAATGGGATCCTAAGTCCCTCCTGTTATGAATTCACTCAAAAGTGTGATATGGTTCAATCAGCGCTGGGCGACAGGGGAGCAGGAGAATTCCCGGTCCACGGAACTGCCGCGCTTCTCGCTTCCGTGTTTCTCCTTTTAAGTGTCTCGGCTTCCGGGTTACGTGTCCTTTCTCCGGCATCTCTGCGCATGCGTCTCTAGTTACTAGGGGGTCGTTTTCTGCTCTCTGGTGGTCGTGGGATGAAGGCTCCAAGTCTTCTTCAGTCTTACTCTGCTGACCTTTTCTCACTGTTTTCCCTTTAAGGCTTATCTTGTCCTGGCATTCCAGGAATCTCTGCTAGGCTGTTAATTATTATGCGAGCCTCAACGATTTAGTGGCCTTCAACTTCTCGATTTTACACACAAAGCACAATTTTGCAAAGCATCCTATCATATCTATATATTTAGGCGAACAAAAGAGTTTCTGTCTATCATAATTCCCCCCTTTTTCTATTCCTTACTTTTGTTTGCTAAATCTTTGTAGTTCTCTTTTACTTAATTCTAAATAATGTTCTGTTTCTTCTCCCTTTAAGGCTTCATATTTAG